TGGAAAATGAGGCTTCAGACCACTCAATGCTGGTGCTGTCTACTATACCTGCTCAAAAGAAAATGAAGAAAAGGTTTGTATTCGACCAAGTCTGGGCGCAGAGCCAAGAAGCAGAAGGGGTAGTGAGGCAGGCCTGGGCAAGACCACAGGTGGGATCAAAAATGTTCAAGATTACTAGGAAAATTAGAGAGTGTCGAATAGCTCTTCTAAGTTGGAATAAACTGAATAAACAAAATGCAGCTATACAGATTAATGAGATTAAGAGGAAGATACAAGAGCTGAAAGAATCTGCAGTTCAAGGGAAAAGTAGGAAAATGGCTGAATTGAAACTAAAGCTGAGTAGTGCCTACAAAGCAAAGGAAATTTTCTGGGCTCAAAAGGCAAGGAGCAAATGGCTAAAGGAAGGGGACAAGAATACAGCCTATTTTCATGCTTGTGTGAAGACAAGAAGGAAACGGAATCAGATAACAAGTTTGCAGAAAGGAAATGGAGAATGGTGCTCAGATAATCAACAAATCATCCAGGAGATTTGCAGGTACTATGAGGACCTTTACACCACATCTCAGCCACGAGACATGGAAGAAGTGTTGGAAGGGGTGCCTGTATCAATTACTAGCAGACTAAACCAGACTTTGATACAACCTGTGGAGGAAGCTGAGGTGAGAGTTGCCGTGTTCTCCATGCACCCAAACAAAGCACCTGGACCTGATGGTATGACACCCTTATTTTTTCAAAGATACTGGAATGATATTAAAACAGATGTGGTGTCTGCTATTCAAAGCTTTCTGGGCCATGGCCACCTTTTAAAGAGCTTAAATGAGACTAGCATAACCCTCATTCCAAAGGTTGAAAACCCTATAGACCTGGCAAACTATAGGCCTATCAGCCTCTGTAATGTGCTTTATAGAATCTTAGCAAAAATTTTGGCCAACAAACTGAAAAAAGTTATCGCTTTGTGCATTAGCTCTTCTCAATCTGCCTTCGTTCCTGGAAGACAGATTGTTGACAACATCATTTTGGCCCATGAAATCATGCACTTTTTAAAAAGCAAAAGAAAGGGTAATACTGCGTTTATGACCTTAAAGCTGGACATGGCAAAGGCTTATGACCGGGTGGAATGGAAATTTGTGGGTAGAATGATGTTAAAAATGGGGTTCTGTCCTATTTTTGTTAGATGGATTATGAGTTGTATGTCCTCTGTGTCCTATTCTTTCAACATAAATGGGGAAAGGGTGGGGTATGTGAAACCAAGTAGGGGTATTAGACAGGGGGATCCCTTATCCCCCTATCTTTTCTTGTTTTGCTCGGAAGGATTGTCTAATCTCATGACAAGGGCTATAGCGGATAGGCAGATTACTGGCCTCAAACTGAGTAGAAATGGACCAGTGCTATCTCACTTATTCTTTGCTGATGACTCTTTATTTTGTTGTAAAGCGCACCCACAGGAAGCTAGAGCCATGCAAAGGATTCTTGCAAAATATGAATTAGCCTCAGGACAGTGCATCAACTATGACAAATCTGCTGCTTTCTTTAGCAGAAATTGTAGCAGACAGCATAGGAGACAGACATGTGCAAAGATGAACAACATCAGGGAGGCAAACAATGGCAAATATTTGGGACTTCCCTTGGTGATAACAGCATCAAAAAAGCAAGTCTTCGCCTACATTGTCGATAAAGCAAAATCCAGAATGCAGGGATGGAAGCACAATCTACTCAGCCATGCAGGAAAAGAGGTGCTACTTAAGTCAGTCGTAATGGCTTTACCAAATTACACAATGTCATGCTGTAGATTGCCTAAAGGACTTTGTAATGAAATCTGTGGTCAAATGGCAAAATTTTGGAGAGGCCAAAATGAAGGGGATAGGAAGATGCAGTGGGTGAGTTGGGAGAAAATTACACAGGTGAAGGGAAATGGGGGTCTGGGATTTAGAGATCTAGAACACTTTAATAGTGCTCTGTTAGCAAAGCAACTCTGGAGGATATTGATGCAACCAGATTTATTAGTGAGCAGAGTGCTAGGAGCAAAGTATAAAATAGCGCTAACAGACTGGGATGGGGCAGCTCCGAAGAATGCATCATGGGTGTGGAAAAGTATATACAGCTCTGGACTGGTGTTACAAAAAGGAATGTGGAAGAGAGTGGGAGATGGGACTACTATCAACATATGGAGGGATAAGTGGATTATGGCAGCACCAAATGGGAGAATAGCAACTCAGAAACATCCAGATTGTAACTTGCAAACTGTGGCAGACTTGCTGATAGAGAAGGAATGGAATAAGAAACTGATTGAGGAGACGTTCTCAGAGCAAGAAACCTCACAAATATTACAAGTGCCATTAAGTCTGTTTCATAGAAAGGATGCGGTCTATTGGAAATATTCAAAATCAGGAAATTACACTGTGAAGTCGGGATATGCAGTAGAAAAGGAAGAGGTCAATGAAAGAAACAAGAAAAGTCATGGAGAGGAAGGAACCAGCTACGCACAACATAAAGACAAAGTGTGGAAGAGCTTGTGGGGATTAAAGATGAAGCCAAAAATAAAACATTTCATATGGAGATGCCTACACAACAGCATTCCTGTAAATGTGTTGATACACAAAAGAACAGGAAGAGGCTCGCCATTATGCAAATGCTGTGGGGAGGGGGAAGAAACAGTGGAACACATGATTTTCTATTGCAATAATGCTGAACCTATATGGAAGCTGGCCCCAATACAATGGGACAGATTATTGCAATGGAGATCAAATTTCTGGAGATGGTGGGAAGGTATATTAGAGGCAAGGAGCAGACAAAGAGGTGAAGACCACATCACCTTAACAGCAAACATCATATGGCAAATTTGGAAGGCAAGGAATGCTCGACAATTTGAAGGGAAACGTGGAGAGCACAGGACCATACTAGAAAATGCAAGGAACGAATGGCTGGAGTTCCAAGAGGAGCAGGTGGAAAATGACAAAAAGCACAGGACAGGAACAAGTCACCATATGAATAACCACCAATGGAGACCACCAGACGCAGGGGTAATGAAGATAAACACTGATGCTGCGATTCCTACTAAATCAGTAGGAGCTGGATTAGGAATGATTGCAAGAGATTGTGAGGGAAACATTGTCCAAGCAAGAGGCATCAGAAAGTTTAGCAGTGCAGGTGCAGAAATGGAAGAGGCAGATGCTCTTCGACAAGGCCTGCTAATGGCTAGAGAAGCTGGCTGGCGAAGAATTGAAATGCAAACTGATTGCAAAGCAGCCATTGAGACAATATGCAAGACAGGCTTGGGTGAAACACCAATTGGCACGATCATAGAGGATATTAGACATTTGAGTGACCTGTTCCAAGACTGTACTTTTTCTTTTGTGTATAGAGATGGAAATAGAAGTGCTCATAAAATGGCACAATTTGCATCTAAACTTGTTTCCAAGGTAATTTGGAAACAAAGTTTCCCCCTGTGGCTCAAAGAGAGTATACAGGAGGATAATAGGGCTAAGGTCCCTTTATGTAACTAAAATCTTGTATTGTCAAGTTCATATATGTATAACAAGAATACCGTTTGGAAAAAAAAAAAAAATAGTGGGCTGTGGTTGTTTAAGCCTCAGCACCTCTCCCATTTCCTCCGGCTTCCGCAGCTTCCCCTTCCCACCACACCCCTTCCCCTCATCACCCGGGCTGCAATAAACAAGCCTACCAAGAAATGGGTCGCGTCCGCACATGGATGTGGTTGTTTATTGAGTTAGTGGCAATTTAATGGAATTTATCTATTTGGAAGGCAACTCGGCGGTAGAAAAGGGAAGCTTGAATTTATCTATTCAGTTAAGAAAAGGGAAGTTTGAATTTGGAATTTAGGAAACAAATAGAAAAGCAAAAGATCCAATTTCAAAGTGAATTTGACTGTAGGATGATTATCACGATTTGAAATTTCGCAAGCAACTAGGGATGTAATTAAATCGAATCGAACCCGAATATCGCCATACTTGAGTTTGACTCGATTTACAAGAAAGATACTCGAACTCGAACGAGTAGCATTACTAGAGCTCGAGTTCGAGTTCGATACATTACTCATAGAATTCAAACTCGACTGACATGAGTTCGAGTTAAAATGAGCCTTATCGAGCTCAAGTTAAGAAGATTTGGGGATTTCATTTTTCTTGACAAATTTTAAAAGAAAAGACATTATCGCCCTTCAAAAAAATTTCATACAACCTAAAACATTTTGTAAATTCAACCATTCTTGTGGGCACAAGGGTAATTTCATAATAATAACATATTAAAAATTAAAATTTAAAAACTCGACAAGGCTCAACGAACCTTCGAGTCTTGCTATTGGATACTCGAACTCGACTTGTTTGTCCCTATCGAGCTACTCGAATTCAATCAATCCGAGTTCGAGTCGAGTTTTTGACCAAACTGCTCACAAGTAACTCACAAGCAGCTTGGTCTAGCAGTTCGGTTCGATTACAACCGTACAGTCGACTCAATATTTAGAGATCAACTATTTTGAGCATAGCTTATGTAATCGACTTTGTTGCGGTGGTTTGTGGGTGGAAGGGAAGAAAAAGAATGGGAAAAGGAACAAAAGAAAAAGGAAAGATAAAGAAGGGGAAAAAAGTAAAATTATATTTATGTCGTTGTCTTTTTTATTTACAACACTTACATAACTACACTAGTGAAACGTGTATTACGCTCGTCCCCAATAAATCATTAGATTTCTAGATTTCGTCAACTAGATTACTTAAATCGAACGGATTTTATAGTTTAGGGATTTAAATGTCTCACTTTGAAGTTTAAGAACTAAAGTGAAATTTCGCGTATGATTTGAGGGGAAAAAATGGAATTAACCCAAATTACTATGAAATTGATTAACATCACCAACATCAAATTACCTCACATCACCAGCGACAATAATATCGCGCGCTTAGTGGCGCTTGATCCAACTTCCAAGCAGCCATAACTTCAAATTACCCACAGTCGGAATAATAGTTAGTCCCTGGTCACTATTACTATTAGCCAGTCCATTGTACTCGAGCGCCGGCTTCTCCCAGCAGCCAGCAAAACTTCTGCAAAATGGTACAAAAAGCATGGAGAATCATCCCAAGGCCACTACTGGAGACCATCCTCAACAACCACGCCCAACATCACCGCGTGCCACAACCCCTCATTCTCCACGGTCCTCGTGGCGTTGGCAAAACCACCCTCATCCTTGAACGTACGAGAAAATATGCTCTCACTACCTTCAACTCTTATTACTCATCACAGTTGGAATTTAATGGTTTTTTTTTTTGGAGCAGGTTTGCTGGATGATTGGAATACTGGACCTCATGTAACAGGGTATGTGGACTTTGCAGAGAATATTAAAGATCAGCACCCAAAGTATGGTTGTTCATTTCCGTGGGCATCATGGTCAAATTGTCAGCCGCAGCCGGCTCTTTTGTCTCTCAGAAATCAGCTTGAAGAAAGCCTTGAGTCCATGGTTATAAGGGGTATAAAGCTGGGTAAAATTAGTTCGCATCAAATATTTACTACTATTAACAAATGGCATAATCCCACTACAGCAATTGAAAGGATTTGTGGGTTGAATGTCATTAATAGTTTAAGAATTAACTCAAAAAGGGACGTCGTGAAAAGGGATGATTCTAAGAGGAGTAAAAGGAAGGTATCTGGAGTTGCTGCTGCTAGTTCTTTGTCTAGTTTATTGAATTTGTGGGATAGGGCTGTTTTTCAGCTATCTGTTCGATTAAATGCCAAAGAGAGTTTTGGGGGGGATGTGAGCTTGGTGGAGGATTCGTATTATAGGGAAGCAATGGCTGCATTGGAATTGGCTAAGGAGGTTATAAAAGTGCAGCAAGGGTGGAGAGCTAATGCTATTAAGCATTTAAATGAGACAGGTGGCTTTTCAAGGCCTTTAGCCCATTCAGCAACTGATTGGCCTTGTTTATTGCTTGAATTATTGTCTTCTGCTGCTGAAGTAGGTTACTTTCAGGTAACTTCCAAGTAGAATGCATTTCAGTATTTTCTGTTTTGCTTCTCCTGATCAGTTTCTTGAAAGAATTTGCCGCGAAGAAAAGAAAATTGGGAATAGGAAATTGTAATAGAATGCTGTAGGTAATGGATGGTATTCATGAATGTTAGCGAGTCTATGAAACTGCTAATTAGTTAATAGAAGATATTTAATGTTTGTGTTTTATATTTGAAATTTGAGAAGCTCGAAATGCTTGTAAGATACGTCCACTATAATGGCTCTTATCCATTGCCTTTTTTGTGGGAGTTATTTTATAGGTATTTTTTTTGTCAAAATTGGTAGTCATTCATTTTTCTTACTTGGTTTTATTTTATTAATTGTAGCCAAAGCTGGTGATAAACAACATTGATGTCCTAAAGAATGCAGTTTTGACAGATGATACTACTGTGAATGCATCCATGTATCATGACAGCTTTATATGGAGGACTATAGCTCTGTGTGTGAATGAGAGATGTCTTCCTGTGATTCTTGTGACGTCAGATAGGTATAGTTTCAATCATTCCCCAACATTACTGGTTGAGAATGGTGGCTATTTGTTTGTCCTGTGCATGCTTTCTACTCCTGTTGTTTTCCTAACTGAGTTGTCATTTCTATTTGCACATTGAGTTAGCAAGCCTGCACCTCATAGTAGCACATCAGGTTTTTGAGTTCCTTTTTATCATATGTTCAACGTTATAAGCTACAAATTCATTGCTCTTGTCAAGTGCAAGATTCTATGTCCTGATTCTTCATGACTTTATTTGGAGTTTGTCAAGAACAAGATATGCCTTGTCACAAGGTAAGTTTGCTTTTTTCCTGACCTAGGGAGTTATTGGTTTAAAAATTCATAAAGCCACTCGATGTCCAGGACTAATGCCAAGCCCACTTAGCCCTTCCTAGCTTGCGGGACGCTTATGTGCTGGGTCTGCTTTAGTCCCTTATGGACAACATGTGATACCAGCTTACTGTAGATTGTTAAAAGTTTTCTTTCCCCCTGCCGATAGATAGTTCATTTATAATCTTACTTCTCTGGATGTCAGAGCACCAGAATTAGGAGATAACACAGGATTTCTGGATCATCAATTGTGGTCTTGGTCTGTACAACTACTAAAATGGCATCATCAAATTTTTTTCACTTAAAACTACAAGTCATCAAATATTCTTTATTTTACTTCAATTGTGCGGTTGATAACTTATAGGAGCAAACATACTAATTGTGCCAATTTAGTGATTTTTGAAGTGGAATGTTGATGACAGCAGATATGCATACCTTGATGTTTTCCTAGTCCTTTTACTCTATTTCATTATAACACTCTTAGAGTGCTGCCAGGTATAGTACAAGAAAAAGGAATGGCTACAAGACTAGAAAGTGAAAACTCAAATGTATTTAATAAATGTGTTCAGTTCCAACATGGATTTTGGACTTTGATGGTTATAGAGTTAAGAAACAGTTGTTTAATAACTTTTTATTTAATAGAATTTAGAATATTTACCTTGGGGGGGGGGACGGGTTGGGTGGTTTGGGGGAGGGAGTCTAAGTGAGTGGTGTCGGGTTCGAGCTCTCCCGTTTACACTAAAGAAATTTTTTTAAAAAAATTAGAAATATTTACAACTTTTGATTGCTAGTTTAACTTAAAGAGAGATTCAGAATTGTAAATCCGTTAGCTTTTCTTCTGTATGAAGTATGAACTTTTATAAGTAATTTTTTTATTAAAAGAAAGTAGTTGCATTTTTTTCACAACCCAAAGCTGAAAGAGTGTGACATCTAGTTATTCAAGAATGTGAAACTGTACCCATGTTAGATTACCTATCATAGCAGGACAGGCTAAACTATAGGCTTGTTAAAGTAGGTCCACATCCCTCGAGAGGAAGTTAGTGATCATTCTGTTGTGAAGTTCTAGAATTTTCAATCTCACTGTTCAATTTGTTCTGTATTTCAGATACCATTATTTGACTCTGTTTTATTTAATTAACTGGTAGAATTTGATCAATTCAGTGGATTTTTTTGTAATTTGAGTAATTTCTTAAAGTTTTGTACATCTTATACTTCTTTTAGTGGTGATAGTCCCTTTGTAGTTATGAATATTGCATAATGCTGATTGTGTGGATTTTCAGAAATCCTGTAACTAAATAACTCTAGAGAAGATTAGAAGTTTTAAGATTGGTAGGAGAATCAGAAGTTAGAAGTAGAATTTGGTAGTGCTGCCAGCCCATCCCTTTTTCACATGTCATTAGCAGTGTGTGATTCATGAGTCCAACCCCTCAAAATCATCCGTTTCTTGCTTGATCAAAGAGTAGTATAGAAGCATAAAATTTTTCATAATTATATCTTAAACCTTTCCATCCAACATTTACATTCTTTTTGGAGAATTACGCTTCCTAAAAGTTTAGAAGTTTCATGTTTTGTGTGACAATAGCTTATTTACATGTCTAATTTGGAAAAAATGAAACCTTTTAAACTTTTTACAATTAGAAATAATTTGTTGATGGATAAATGAATTTGATTGAAATGGCAGTGATTTAGCTTCTGTGCTAGATCTTGCACATTCCTAAGCATTGCTTGACAGTTTCCCATTCTGCTTTATAGCCAGCAACAATAAGATTAAATTCTTGCAGATCCCTTCGATCAAGTACTAAAGTTAATAAAGGTCCAACTGTTTCATTGCATGCTTAGGCTAATCCCTGGGCAAATTTGACAGGTTCTTTGGTGGTTCATAGTCTGACAAATCTTCAATGCTCTTGCTTTACTTTTTGATGGTCTATTCAAGCTTCCATTTTCATAATTTGAGAAATCCTTGGTGTAAATGGACCTTTTTGTAATAATAGGCAAAAGGTGTCAACAGGCCCTAATGAAGCTTCCCAGCCTTTTTATGCCTAATGCTAACTTTCCCCTTTATTTGAATGAATCCAAATTTTAGCTACTTTTTCATACACAAAATTTCCTTTTCTCTTTTATATATTTTTCAATTGATTAATAAAACTAAGAACACGTGATATGTGCTTGCAGCTACTACTCTTACCAAGCTTTTATTGATTATGGATTTCCAGATATTTTCATCTCTCGTGAGGTAACAGGAACTCTTTTTGTGTGTACCTGCATGTGTATTTGATGGTCCTGAATATTGTTAGAATCTTTTTTCTTGTAAATATGTATGTATAAAAATATCCATATCAATGAACAGACTGTTGGTAGTTATTGTTGGAAATCAGATGCAGTTCTTTGCAGTTTACCCAGTGATCGATCGTCTGTACTTAAGCTGTGAATTTTTCGAATATATTCTGAATATGATAGTTAAAGTGATTTGTGGTGTTCACCAATGATTATGAGTCTGGGTGATTGAGTTCATAAGAAAAATGCAGACATTTGGGTGGACTCCAGCAGAAGCCAATATCGTGGTGGGGGTAGAGGACGAGGACGAGGACGAGTACAAGGAACCGAAGGGGTAACCAATGAAAATGCGAATATACAAGCCGAAACCTAAGTAGCTACAGCCATACAGCGAATGGCTGATTTATTAGAACGAATGGTCAACCAATAGGGTCAAAACCAAGTACAGCATCCTGGAAATCATGAGGGAGAGGACCGTGCCTTAGAACGGTTTCAGAAGTTTCTTCAGCCAAAATTTTTAGGTGGACCTGACCCTGATATAGCGGAGAGTTGGTTGGAGCGAATGTTAGACATTTTTGCTGCGTTAGGATACCCGAAGGAACGGCAGATAACTTTAACCGTTTTTCAATTTGAGGGAACGGCTTGTGCCTGGTGGAATGTGATTCGATCCAAGTGGGATAGAGAACAAACCCCATTGACATGAGTTAATTTCACTCGTGAGTTGAATACCTACCGCCACTTGTTCTGGAAAGGCGAGAGGATGAGTTTATACGCCTACGTCAAGGGATTATGAGTGTGGCGGAGTACGAGACGCAATTTACTAAACTCTCTCATTTTGCTCCAGAGTCAGTGCTGACAGACCAAAGGAGAATTTGTCGGTTTGTCCAGGGTTTGAATGTGGAAATTCAAGAGGCACTGGCAGCTGCTCAATTGGAGACATATAGTCAAGCTATTGAAAAGGCACAAAGGATTGAAAGTATTAAGAATCAAGTAAAGGCTTTTCATGATAAGAAAAGGAGACAACCGGATACAAGTAGTTATATTGATAGACAAAGCTCGAGGAGCGAGCCACCATCTAAGATGAGCCGAGGAATAAGTGGTCCACGATCCACAGGGATCCCAAATCAAGGAAATGTTGAGAAAAGTCAGGTAGGGAGAGAGACCCAAAGGGGTACCTCACGAGGAGGTCCGACATCAGGACCTAGAATGGCATATGAATTTTGTGGGGCTGCTGACCACATGGAAGATAATTGTTGGAAGAAAGGACAAGTTCGGAAATGCTACCGATGTGATAGTGCTGAGCACCTGATTGCTAAGTGCCCTCACCTGCCAAAAGAAAGAAATTTGCCAAGAGCAGAAGGGAACACGTCTAAGCCGACCAATGCCACGGGTAATCGACCGAAAGTGCCGGCAAGGACCTATGCAATGGGACATCAAGAGGTGACAAACCCATTGGCAATCATCGAAGGTACCCCCTATCTTCCATCGTATTGAGGTTTCTTCTATTCGTTTTAAAAGATTACTACCATTAAGGCCGATCTACGAGACATTTGAAGTTCATTGAAAATAAAGACCATTTAGACTTTGAGATAAGGACTACACTGTTGGTTCTTGGATTGAAATATATAGAGTGACCAATTCTTGAGGTAATCTTTACCACTACTGATGAACTCGTTAATGAGGTATTCGAGTATTCCAACCCTTAACTCGTTGATTGCAATTTCGAGGACGAAATTCTTTGAAGGAGGAGAGATTGTGATACCCCAACTTTTAGGATACTATTGTTGTTTAGTCTCAAAGAGGATATTACGATTTTTTAAATTTATTTTTATTTTAAGACATTGTTTTGTTTTAAAGATTAGAAACCCTAAATTCTAGAAACCCTAAATTCTAATCAAAAACCCTAGTTACTTGTGACTAATCGATTTTCTTAAATCTCTCATGTTTTAATCGAAACCCTAATTTTAATCTATGGAATTGTAAAATCCCTCATATTTTCTTAAAATTCCTTTTTATTTGGTATTTATTCCCTTATAATAGCTATACTACTCATTTACATCCCCAATGTTTAGAATAAAGAATAGAATTAAAAGTTTTCCCTTTTGCATTCATCGTTAGGGTAAACTAAGATTTTACGTCTTTTCGTAGTTTGAGTATCTGGTGCGGAGTATGTACTAAATTTGATGATTAAGAGTGAGTTTTAGACAAGAAAAAGTGTGTGATTAGAAGTAATAATAATAAGTTAGTGAATTATAAGTGAAAACCCTAGTACGCGCGAAATAAGGAAAAACGGTATGAACCAACGGGTATCGTTCGCTACCGATGGAGCCCACCATTTGACCACCACTTTTATCAAGTTAATCTCATTGTTATTGGAGCTTAAATATTAGCTCTAAAGCTGATCAAGGGGGCCAAAATCTTTGACCTCAAAAACCCAAGGAAAAGAAAAAAAATTGAGATATGATCTTGTGTGGACAAGTGGAGACCATCCAAGAATCTTTGACCCAAACTATGACTAAGCCTTAAAACCATCTTGGAGCTTCATTCTTCTTCATTTTTTTCAGCTTGTGGCCAAAACTTTGAGAGAGAAAATACAAGGAAAGGAAACTCCATTATCATCTTGTAGCTTAGTATTTGTGAGTGAAAAACAAGATTCTAAACCGATTAAATCTTTCTTTGAGCACTTGAAAAGCTTGGTGTGCAAAAGGTTTACAAGGAGAGGTGGTGGATAACTCTTACAACCATTTTTTAGAGGTATATTGGCTGTCCATCACATTTATTTCCCTTAGTCTTGTTTAAGTTGAGTAGTAACTTGAAACCTTGTTTGTGATGCTTAATTCAAGTGATTTTGATGATTGTGGTGATGAATTTTGAGTTAGGGTTTTGAATGGTTCACTTATAATTCTTATTGTTTGGATGGTATACGGTGTATATAATCTTGTATAGGAGGTTGTAGTAGTGGTTTAAGCTAGAAAGGTGAAGTTATACCTTGAACTCCTTAAATTCCAGAAATGAAACTCTTCACTGCCCTGTTCTGTCCGGTTTTGTTCGACCATGATGGAGGCCGAATTAGGCTTAGCACAAAACATGAAAGTTGTAGGGAATGATTGTTTATAGATTCTTGTAAAATTTCAGCTCAATATGAGTTCTGTAACACTTGAAAATACAAAAATACCCCTGACTGCCATAGGTAGAGCTCGGTTGACAGTGTTGACATTTCACCAATCGACCACATCTGTTCACCCTGATCCATACTGAATTAGCCTTTTGCCAAAACATAGAAGTTGTAGTGCTATGTCTTAGCTTTCCAACGCCCCTAAAATCACCTCAATTGGACTTCGGTAGCCAGAGTTATTGTCGTTTACGCATAGTGCGGTTAACTAGCCTGATTGTGAGATTCTGGTTCTGTAATTTGAAATTTTGACAAGAATACACTACGAACTGAACTGAGTGGTTTTCATGAAAGTTGTAGCCCTTTATCTTAGCTTTGAAATGGTATAAATTTCACCCCAATTTGATAAGCGTAATTTTGGTTGTGACTGTTACGCTAAGAAACGTCGAACTTGTCTTTTTATGTTTTGCTTTAACCCCTATTTCTAGTCATTTCTATAGCATGGTTTTGTAATTGTATGACGTTGAGCCTATTGAACGGCTATTGAAATGAGATTATTTTGTGTGTGATTTTGGGACTGATTGAGGAAAAGAATGAAGCCATAAATGGCTGAAAAATAGGTAAACACAAGGGGCATGCCGCCCAAATTTTCACAAGAGGAATAAACTAGCCTTTGGAGTTCTAGTTCTGTATTTTGCAAATTTGACCTGGATCCAGTGAAAACTGGGTCGAGTTGTCTTCACGAAAGTTGTAACCTTTTGTCTTAACCTCGTGACGCTATCTAGTACACCTTGATCCGATAACCACAGCTTTGGTTATGGTCAAAACCGTGTAACCTATTTTTATACCTTTTTCATTTCCGCGCGCATATATTTCTTTACCATTTTTGCCATTTTGATCGTTTTAGTCCTTATTTTCATTTATGATGGTTGATTGACTGATAGTTGAGTATAATCTTCTGTCACAGGCAGTGACGAACCGGACGGAGTCGATTGACCCTAATGAAGTAACTTGATTTGCGTGCTAACTCTTTTGAGTGAGTAATTGGGTTGTTTATTGACTTGAAATTATCAAAGTGCTTTGTATATGTTAAATGGGTACTTAGGCGAGGGTGTACTTTATCTCACTCGACCTAAGCCCATCCTTTGTTTTGATTTCATATGTGAGAATACATGTCTTATGTTGAGTATCACCTTTTGCTGTGTGTTGATGGGGTGATTACATGACTTAAGTTGAATCCCTTTTTGCTGTGTGCTGTTGGGGTAAGTACCTGTGTAGTTTGTTAAGCGATATCATCTATTGAGAGATTGGATATCTCAGGGCTTGGTTCCATGTCGGTTTCAAGGGTAGACGAACTATTCGAGCCAGTCAGGGCTTGGTCGAAGTTAGTTCCATGCTAACCTTGGGATTTCGTTCTTTGTTAAAGCTTTGATTAAAGCTAAGTGATTTTGTTTCACTCGAGCTGCTGTTGTGCTGTTGACCGGCCTGTGGGGGTTGATAAGGTGAACGGGGAAAGTAAGTGGAGTTTACGGACCATGAGTACTTTGATTGACGATGTGTCAACAGGCATTCAACCTCGGGCAATTGAACTGTTTTGGAGCCACCCGTATCCTACCATTGTGATGTTGCCTTTCTGTTATTGATGTGAAATATCCTAATTTACTTGTTTATTTGGATGTGAGTTTACATTTTACCCCGGATTACTCACTAAGCATATAGCTTGCCCCATTCCATTTGTTTTCCTTAGTAGGGGGCCAACGCGGGGATCGCTTGGGAAGGTGTTTAGACTTTTAGCTATAGAATAGTTGAATTTGTACTTGATATAAGTTGACTAGTAAGATGTATATAGTTGTCGTGGTGGTTGTAGTTATCAGCTTTTCTAGGGTTTACTTTCTGGTACTCGTAGTATGTATGATTTGATGTACTAGTTTATGCAACTTTTGAAGCTGTAATAGAGTAAATAGAACTTTCTTTTAGCGTGAAATCTATTTTCGCATTTTAAGTATTGAGTACTGGTGCGAACTAGGCAGGCGTCCGCCGATACGCTCGGGTTCACCCTTGGGAGAGGTGGGGGCGTCACAGGTGGTATCAAAGCGCCTAGGTTAGAGGACTTTGGCAGTTGAAAAATGTGTTATAGAACATATAAGTATTCGATTGTCTCTAAGTTGAATCGTATCTATTAAGATGAAATGCCGGAGAACTGATTAAGTGATATTTTGTTGTGTA